CTTCCTTAAAGTTGCTGTGAAGATTTGTGTAATTTAGTTCCCTTTTTCTGTGAGCTAAAATGACTTTTTATGGTTTTCCCCTTTCTTCACCAAGTTCTTCTCTGCTTCTGGTGGGGTGTCCGAGTCTACGACATTCATCTTATGGTAGTAACACCGCTGTGACATGACTCTTACACGTGTCTTCACTCAAGAGAGCCATCAAGCTTGGAGAGCTAGTCAGACTTGAGAAATGTCATCTGAAACCCAAAGTGCTTGTAGGTTTGTCCATTGGTGGTGGTGTGAACCCATACTGTTTCTGATGGCAGGTCCCTGTCCTCTGGGTCATTGTGAGAGGGAGAGCCGTGTGAGTGCACAGTGTGGAGACAAACCCAAATACTCATGGTTTAGATGTGTGGTGACAAGGCTGTTCTCCCATGTGTTTCCAAGGAGAAGAGAGGAGCCAGGAGGGAGTTGAAAGATGGTATTGCTCTGTCTGATGTGGCTGGCTGTTCGAAATAAATATGCAGAGAGCACTTTGGAAGTGGTGAGCTGTGTTGAGGGAGAGTTTGGACTTCATGGAAAATGTTAAAAATTCAAAGCAGAGCTGTTGGCAAGTGATGGCTGTCGAAGCAGAAAAGAGGAATGAGCAGAAGCTTAGCAGGGGAAGCTGGGGGAGTGGGATGAGCATAATCATCTCTTGAAGGAAGTTAACGAGACACAGGAGACGGTAAGCATGAGGAGTGGGTTTCAGGAGACATGGCGCAGCTCTGTGGGCACATGATGGCAGATGTCAAGGAGAAAACACAATGTGGGCAAGCCCAGTGGGGGAGACAGGAGGGGTTGCAGAACAGGGTCCATCTGTGTTCACACCGTTAGTCTTTACCCTTGTGCTGTGTAGCAGTGTTTCCAAGGTGGACTTTGTTTTGGTGAGGGGCACTATGAGTTAAGTCTGCATTTTAAATGTAAAATGGGTTGCAATGCACTGAGAATCGGTGTGCCTTGCCTCATCAGGAGGACCTCTAGGGATGCAGGGGCATCTGTGTGAAGAGGCCACCAGGGTGTGATTACCCCATCACTCACCAGGAGCACAAGGGTCGAAGCAACCCAAGAAAAAAAGTCTTCAGAGTGAAGGACTTTGGAGACCTGCAAAGAACACTGGAGTGTCTGAAGTTTAGGACTTTGTGGGAGGGCTTGTGATTCCTGAGATGAGAGCAGGGCTCCAGCCACCCACTCCCTGTCCCCACAAATGGGTGTGCCATCATTTATTCCAGAGCTGTTAATGACATGTTGGGAACACAGAGATGAGATGTGCTGCTCCTTCCACTCTGAAGGAAGTACGGCGAGCAGCCAGTCCAGGCAGGGATTTTCCAAGGGGTGATTCCCAAGGTGTCTGCAACCAGAATGCCTCTTTCATAACTTTCTGATTCTGAAATGATTTCAAATTTGAATGGGAAATAACCATAAAACGGAAAAGTGAAGTGTCCCATTGAATGAAAATTTGACATCTGGGTTTGCAGGAGGAAGTAATAATTATTTCTCTAGCTGGATGCTCTCTCTCGGGGTTTTAGGGCAGGTCAGCCTGGCAGTGCTGTCTTGTTTTGGCCCCCCAGATGCTGTGAGCTGGTGGAGCAGCCCACATTGCAGGCAGTTCAGCCTGGCAATGTTCCTGCTAGCACTTGCTGTGCTAAGATTGCTCCCCAGTCCTGCTGCAAGGTTTCAAAGCGTGAAACTTTAGAAGACTTTAGCCAGTGAATTTCAACACACTGCAAATATAAACAATGCAGTTGTTACCTTTTTTTTTTACTTCTTTTTTTTTTTTTTTTCTGAGAACAATCTAAAAAAAAACCTCTCAAACTTTCATTGGTTTCCTGAAAATGTTGTGGGTGTTGTTTTTGTTTTTTTTTCTTGTTGGCAATTGGGTGACCTATGAAATACCATAAGCAGCACAAAACATTTATGCAGTGACAGCCTGAGGTAGCACAGGCAGCTCTTAGCGGGTTTATTTTCATTATTACAGCAATTTTAGGGCTGCATGCAGCAATTTTCACTTGCAGTGAGGTATTAAATTGAAATTACCCCAGATGTAATTGTCACACAAAATAATTCTGGACATGCTGGATTTAATGCTTTTCCAAGCTGTGGTTTTTATTACCCAAGCAAGTGCCAAAAAAACACTTGTAGTCAACAACTTAAACTGAAGCCTGCCTTCTGGGGAGCCAGGAGCTGCAGTTACACTGGGGAAGGAAGGAAAAAAAAATAAGGGACCAACTGGAGAAAACTTTGGGAGGGCTTCTGAAAGAAGAGCCCAGGGGTAAAATCCTGGGCAAGGGCAGAGTCAGGGCCACATAGGGACATTGTAAGAGTCCTGGCAGATGCAGCAGTTCAGCCTAACCCTTTTTGGGATCGTTTTTGGGGAGATGAGTCCCACTTGCGGTGCAGTGCTGGTCACAGAGGTGAAGCAAGGCTGGGGGTGCTGTCGGGTCCCTGCCTACTCCATAGCAGCAGCGCAGGCATCAGTCCTGTCTTTGGGATGCGACCAGCCTCATTAGAGAGAAGTCAGGGGTGAGTCACAGAGCCAGTGACCAAGCTCTGGAGGTGCTCATATATGACATTTCAGTGTTTCCCACATGGACATTGTCTAGTTAGGCTGATGTGGTGCATAGACATCTGGAGTTTTAAAAGCAAGTTGTTGTCACACACGAGGAGCCTTCATTGCACTGCTGACAGGCTCAGCCAGCATGCAGTGTCTTTGGCACTCCCACTGGTAGGTGATACAGCATGCATCCACTGCGGCTTTATTTATTATCTCCTTAACTATTGTAATAACATAAGTAAAGTATTGATGACATTGTATTTTCCACCCGCTTTCACTCTTTTCCAGAAATAACTTCCCTTGTTTGCTCCACAGAACCGCTCCTGATGCCGTGCTGAAAGTGGGTGGAAGGACACGCATCTGGGAACAGTTAGGAGATAATGGTGTATAAATAGCACAGGGAGAGCAATCGTCGTAGTCTGTCCCTGCGGCTCCGCAAAGCAAGCGAGAGCTGAGCCTGAGCATAGCAAAAAAGTCACCGAGCAGCAGCAGCGGCTTCTTTCTCATCATATCAGGTTGGGAGAGCTCAGTTGAAGTTGGTTACTGGGTGATGCAAGGGGCCACAGTGACCCAGATGAGCAGCTCAGGGCATGACTGGGTGCTGTTTAGTAATTCAGAAACCCTTTAGCATCCCTGAGATGTAACTTTGATGAACGAGGGCATTGCTGCTTGGGGCGATGTTACTGAATTTTCTCCTGCATGTAGAGTAGCTGTGCAAATTTGGTGTCCTTTGAGGATGAACCTAGAATTAGAATTCATTCAATGATGAATTTCTGGGATTGGTGACTATGTTGAAGGAACAGAGTAGTAATGAGAAATCTGCTTTGGTTGAGGCAGGATTTGGGGAGGGTTTTGAGTGAAATAATGAGAGAAAGCAGCTACTGATTTAGCGTGAGCTTGCAAATATTTTGTCCCACCCAAGATGTCGTTTTTTCCTTATTCTTGGAATTATACCACCTGTTGTGCACTCTTTTTTCCTTTCATTTAGTTCACTTTGTAAATAACCAGAAATGCAATTTCGAAATGAAAAGATGAAAAACCTTGTTAAAAAGAATATCTCAAGCATTTTGACATTTCAGAGGTGCAACATGCTGTGCTGATAGCATAAATCAGCAATATCTGGCTACTCTTACTTGCTTTCTCCTCTCTATCCCCAACTTAATTTTTCCATCTGTTTTGCTTTGCCTTGCAGATACTGTGGTCCAGAGCTTTGGGGGAGCAAACTGATGGTTTGTTGAAAGAGTGATTGCTCAGTCCTCTTTCCTGCTTCATTTGAGGATGGTAGTGGTAGCACCTGGGCAGTGACCCAAGAGCAGGGAAGTGGCACATGGATGGAAAGGGACACGATAGCTGTGATGGGAAGCTCCTCAGGCTGGGCACAGGGTGCCCTCCTGCCACAGGTGTGTCACTTAAGGCCATCACAGGGACTGACAGGGACCTGGAAAGTGCAGCATGGATGTAAGAGGTGTATATGGATTTCCTAAGCTAGGAATATGTTGATGGCAGTTTATAAAAGCCACAAATTTCATCAGCTAAAGGTCAAAGTAATTACAGAGTCTACGATGTTTCCTCCTGGGAAGGAGGCAGCAGGGGCTGTGGTTGCAGTTGTGGGTTTTCACTTTCTGCAGGCTGGCTTGGAAAGTGTTAAATCCCGATCTTCCCTGTGGTCAGGTTATGCCATTAAGGCAGAGTGAATAAGGAATCAATTTAGAAACAGGACTTGGCTTACCTTGTAGCCGGATGGTGGAAATTCCGGCCTCAGAAGGTGGGAGTGAGGTGGCTCAGAGCTGGAGCTGTGATGATACTTTTGCCTCTGCTGGTGTCACCAGCCAAGTGGGTGCGAGAGTACTATATCCCTGCCTCAGTTTAAGAAAGAAAAAAACCTCATCATCATAACCCAGTACTTCTGGGATGATACTGAAAGCTCCATGAAGCTCACAAAGCCAGCAAGGCAGCATAAGACTTGCAGCTGGTCTTCTGCGAGGACCTCACCTGTGCCTTACCTTTGGCGTGAAGGGCTCATTTCTAATCCCATCATGCTAATGTCAGCAAGGAGCATCTCTGCTGAAGGTGGCCTTGCCCTAACTTTATTTTCCTGCTACCTGTTGGTGAGGGAGGCTGGTAGAACCAGGATGGTGTGCTAACCGGGAAGCAATGGTTAGAGAAAAGGGCTGCAAGCTGGGTGCCTCCTTTCTCACCCCTTGCTATTAATGACAGTTAAGTTCTTTTTGCTGCTTTAATTGTCAGTGAGTGACTTGGCAGTTTCTGGACTCTTTCAGAAAGGATTCATGCAGAAAAGCTCTTTTTTTTTTTTTTTTTTTTTATGGAGGATCGTCTACTGATGGACTCCACTGCCTGCGTTAATGAAGTGAGCTCCCACTTTGAATTCCAGTGCCTGAACAGCCTTTTCCTCTTTCTCCCTCCGCAGATGTACGACTTTGCACTATCGCCAGGACCTCCCACCAACCAGTGTCATCATCACCTTCCACAACGAGGCCAGGTCGACCCTGCTAAGGACAATTCGGAGGTAAGAGCTCCTGATTTGCTGCAAATGCTCTAATTTATAAACACTTTAAAAAATGGTGAGTGGGCTAGTGGTTTTCATGGATAAAGGCAGAATCTGTTTGCACTCACCACAGCAATGGGACTGGGATTACCAGCTGCGGTCTCAAATGATTGCTGGGAGAAATTAGTGTGAAAGCTGGTCTCTGAGAAGTAGGTTTTACAGTGGGATGCTCGGGAAAGTAAGTAGCTGTGCTCACTTTACAGGGTCTAGCACAGTGTGCTCTTGGAATGGCAGATTAGGCAGAGTCTGGGGTAAGAAGTTTTATATCCAGCTGAGTATCAGTGCTCAGCTGTATTTTGTCCCAGTCCTTTGGGGACAGCTATTCTGCAGATGTCTGCTCCAGTACTGCTGCTCGAGCTTCTCCAGTGACACATTGAGTGCCAGAAAGACTTGCTAATTGAGAAGCCCTAATGGAGCACATGCAGACTAGACTTTCAAGGATGGTTTCTGTACTCCTCTGGATACAGGGTGGAGTGCTCTGGGCAGATGGCCATTCCTTCATTTGTTGGCTTGTTCTTGGCAGTGTTTTGCTGTGGTGGATAGATTAAAGGCTTAATTTTCATCACAGGTTTTTGAAATCAGCATTTAATCCCAAGGTGTGCCTTGAATCTGCAAGTTCTCTTGTGGGAAGATTTAGTGAGGTGTGTCCACTATACACCTTCAAGGGGTCTATCCCCAGGTCTCGGCTGGGGGGTTCCTCTGTAGCAAGCTTAGGTATGCTCTGCTCTGTGCCAGTAATAAGTGTTTTGCAGATGTATTCCATGTCCATATAGTGAAGGTTTTTGCCCTGCTGCAAGCCTTGTCAGTTAAACCGTGGCATCCCCAGGGACCTCTTGCCATTGTCGGTACTGGTCAGACTGGGGTTGCTGGCTGGTGGGAGGCTTCAGCTATGCCCTATTCACTGTCACATCCTCCCTGGGCTTTTCTCTGAAAACAGCATCCTTCCTCAGGTGAACGCACCCAGTGCCACAAGTGAGTTTGACAGTCCTGAAATTGAATTCCTGCTTTGCTTTATGGTTTCATGCCCAATCCCATCTCCTTCACTTCACTCTTAATAATCTATCACCGCTTTCTCTCTCTAGGGTGTGTGGATTTCAGATGTGCATAGCACTGACACTTGGTACTGTGTACTACCTCCTTGATCCTGGACCTTCTCTTTATCTTTACAGTGCTTTGCATAGGTTTGCCATTCTCCAGAACACATTGAAACAGAGATGGCAAAGCAAAGCCAAGTACAGTCCTCTAGCCCCTGAGATGCAGGATGCTTATAACATGTAAAGTGCAGGGATGAACTTTAATCTCATTTCTCTCCATAACTCAGCACTTGACTGTCCTGGCAGGTATGACCATGAGTGATGTTGTCACATGAAAGATGTTAGACCCGTGATACGGCTCTTATGCCTGGATCCCTCATATCTGGCTTCATTAGACAACTGTTCATTGCAATGTTGGCAAGGTTAGAAGTACAGGTAGTTTGAATTTTCATTCTTCCTCTAGGATATCGTCCTCTGAAGTTTCTGATTTCCAGCTATAAAAAGAATTTCTTCCTTGTTCCTATTCTTTCCTTTGCTTGACTTGATTAGTTGGCTTTACTGCCTTACCCGGTTGCATGTGATTTCTACCACAGCTTTGCCCCCGTGCACTGCTCCTCCCCACTCACGTGCCCCATTGATTCCAGTGCTCATGTTTTGTCTGTGGGGAGATTTTCCCCAGCTCTTGGGCACCCTCTGAGCCCTCTTTCCTGTAGGCTGCTCTCCAAGTGGTGCCAGAGCCCCATGAAGTATCCCACTGAGCTGCACCACAGAGGCAAGCCTGGGCAGTGGGGAACTGAGATGACTCACAGCCTTGAGTCCCCATCTCCCCTGCCTCTCCCTGGGCTGAGATCCTGAGCTCTCTTGAGCTGACTTTTTTCTGCTCCCCATGGTTTGGAGGTGGCCTCCTGGCATCATAGTTCACCATTTTCCTCCTGGATGCAGTACTTAGAGGCTTCCTTTGATCCAACTAGTGGCAGAGGTATCAGCCCTTGGTGGCAAGTCATACTGGTGACATGACTCTTGCTCTGCTCCTCTCTGGCCATGATTGTGCATGTATTGACACCTCCTTGCCTGGTTTTGTACCCAGCTCATCTGCTTCTTCAGCCTCTGTAGGTTAATTTGCTGTGCCTTCTGACTGCTCTGAACCCCCCCCCCCCCCCTTGCTCAGCAAATGCTTAGTTTAATTAGATCTTCCAGATAACTCCATCCCATGGTGGCTGTAACAACATGGATCATTTTCCATGGCCATTCAAAACAAACTGTCCTCCTGACACTGATTTCTGCCTTTTGGAGCAGTCTGTGGCCAAGTGTCTCCAAGCACTTTGAGCACAGTGGTGAGTAAAATAGGCACCTCTTCTACCGTGATCTCCCCAGTACATCTCCACAGTACACTCCAGGTGACAGATGGACAGGCTGAGGAACAGAGAGGTGTGTGGCAGGTGGAAGATTTTGGGTTACAGACTTGGTTTCCTGAGTTCCAGCAAGTTGTTTTTTCCAGCTTATTGCAACATGAATGTTCTCAGTTAACCGCTGTGGCAGGAGCAAGAAACAAGGAAAGGGACATTGCTTGGCTTGTCCAAAGCCATGGGTGACAGTGCACCGTCTCCACAAAGGGAGCACTTCTTACAGGACCACATGCAAACACAGAGGAGTGGCAAAGGGAAATGTTAGTGAAGTCATCATCTAGCAGAGGAAGAAATCAACTCTTGCAGAAGGGACCACGTACATGACAAACAGGAGTGATTTTGCTGTTCCTGTGCTTTTCCTAGGTGATTGAGAGCTTTAGTGCTTACCAAGAGCTGAGGCTGAGCTGTATTTCAGGCTCAGTGTGTTGCATGTGGCTCTTGGTGAGGATGCGAGTGCTTTGACCCGTGAAGCAGAGGCACCAACACATGGCTTCCACAGCACACCTTAGGCAAGTCACGTTGCGAGCATTTTGGATGGTTCGTTTATGAACAATTTGTGTCGTCAGATCTATTGAGAAAAGCTAGTGGACTGTGTTGAATAGTGAATTAATTTAAAAGTTTCTTTTCTCTGACTGTTTGCCAGCTGGAAGAAAAGAAGGGGAAAAAACCCAGAAAAGCTAAATTAATTGAATGCCCAAATCTCTGCAAATGATGTAGTCAGTGTTTATAAATGTGTATGTAACTATGCTTGTGAATATGTACAAATGCCCAGGTAGTAGGGGATGGGTGTCATGAGAAAGAGAAATAGAAAAAGGGAGAAGAGACCAAATAGGAGGAGATGGTGAATAGCAAAGTAGCTCTTGAGATTTTTTTTTTTTTTTTTTTTACCATGCAGACAGTAGAGAAACTGCCATTGGGTTGTTGTTTCAGCCACTCACTTTTCGAATGACCTTGAGCAAGTTTCTTATCCCGTCTCAGTTCAGTTTCATGTATTTCAAGCTGCAAGGCTCACTGCATTAAAGATGGTGAGAGTCTCCAACAGTATGGGATGGGACTGTGTGAGTAAACCCAAGGAGGGAAGACAGGAGGAAGGGAGAGAATGAGCAATACAGAGGCATTTTTTAAAAAAGAAAACCACAATTCCTTCTTTCCTCTTTTTCCATCCTGCGCTAGCCTGTATTTAGGAAGAGAATGCCGCTCATTGCCCAGCTCTAGCTGCCCAGCTCATCCAGAGGGAGAGCTTAAGGATGTCCCCAAGGCCACAGCAGTCACTGTAGGGGAAGTAGCAGTGTGGCTGGGAAAGGTGCTCCTTGTCACCTGGGGCTGGACTGGGTGCTGGGGCTCTCCACAGAGATGGGCAATAGTGCCTTTCCATCATGTAACCCCGTGTGGTTAGGGGGAACTACTCCATGGCTTGCTTATGAGAATATCATCCCCTTTCCATTACTGTCCCTCCTCTGCAGGCATCAACATGCTCACATGCTGAGATGTGGCCACTGCTGGGGGACCAGTTGTGCTTTCAGGGCTCAGTGTGGTGTGGCATCCCATGTTGAGTTCTGCAGGGAGCAAGGCTTGGTGCATGCCCCATCTCTGGAAGCATCCCTGGGAGCAGTGGGGAGAGAAACACTGCGTACCCTGGTGGCAGAGCTGGCGGAGACAGAACTGCAGGCACCCTGGGGTGATGCTCTGCACCCATACCATCAGACCACCATGCGTGACTTTCTCCAGCAAGGCAATTTTGGGAGCTTGATGGCTGGTCAGCGCTGGCACACACTGGGCAGGAGAGGAGCGTAGAAGGCTGTTGTGCTGGCAACCTGAGACAGTCTCATTTACTCTGCTGAGTGGTCTTCATTTATTTATTCTTCAAACTTGCAGCTGGGGAGCTCAGAACAGGAATAAAGAGACTTAATTATTTACCTCTTGCTGACAAACGAGAACACATCCTTTGGCAAAAGTCCTGATGCAAGTGCTATGAATATCACATCAAATATTTAGATCATTAATTAGCAGGGAGAATAGCATGCCTTTAATTTTCCAGTGCTCGTAAGAAAGGGAAGTGATGTCCTGGACAGCCAGCACCTCACACCTTCACCTCATGCTGCTACTTCGTCTGCATCTAGGCACATCTGAGACAGGGAAATACAAAGCCCGTGCGCCTCCTTCCTTAGGCAGCAGCAGCACCATATAGAGTCTGTGCCATAACTCGAATGAGCCTGATTAAAGAAGCAAAAACAAGCCAGGTGTTGCGAAGAAACTGTATAATTAGCACTTTGTGCTGACTATTTTTTTTTCTTGCTTTTTGCTTAAACCTTGGACTTTTTTTTTTCCTAATTTGCTAATCATCTCTCGCGGTGACTAAGTACACAGCCCTCCATGCGCTTTTACCTTTTGATGTTAACATAAGAGAACTCTTGAATTTCAAAGAGCTTGGTGGGTATTTGAAAGAATAAAATGCGAAAGCTGCAGTGTAATCAAAGCTCATTATGGTTATTCTTGGTGTGATGTCTCTCTTCCTATATAA